TTATCTTCCACATATGAGTGAAATCACATGGTATTTGTCTTCTTCTGCCTGACTCATTTCGCTTAACATAATACCCTCAAGGTCCATCCATGTTGTCGCAAGTGGGACAATTTTGTCTTTTTTTATGGCTGAGTCGTATTCCATTGTGTATATATACCACATCTTCTTTATCCATTCATCAGTCGATGGGCACTTGGGTTGCTTCTAAGTCTTGGCTATTGTGAATAATGCTGCGATGAACATAGGGGTGCATAATCTTTTTGTATTAGTGATTTCATGTTCTTTGGGTAAATATCTAGTAGTATTCTCTGGTTCATGTGCTTCTTTCCTTCTCCACTGTCTGCCCTGCCACTTGTAGGACCCAGCACCAGAAACAAAGACAACAGCCTGACCTAGACTATTTAACCAACTCCCACAATTGCATACAGTAAAATCCCTGTAACAAATCCCGCCTCCTAGTGGTCCTGCTTTCTAACCGTACTCTGTGATAGAGCATGTGTCTCAATAGAGAGTTTAGTTTTCCTGTCTTTGAACTCTGTGTTGGGCTCTGATCGTCTCTTTACCTGTCCTGACTGCTAGCTCGGGACAGGGTAACCCCATCTGAGCCTCCCACACAGCTGGTATCCCTGAGACTCAGCTGGCCCTTACTTCTGTCAGATGACTGAGACTCCAACAACCCCAGCGCTGGGCACAGATGGGTCCAGGCACTGAAGAAGTAGACAGGCCCTACCTGTGCGAGTGGGATGCTCTGAGAAGTTCATATACGTATTTTCCCATCTATTTCTAAGGTGCCTGAAAAGTCACCACTAGAAAGGCAGAATATCTGAAAAATGAACTGAACTAGGAGTTTTTATTCCAGGTCTACTGCTATCCAGCCGTGAGATTTTGGTCAAGTTGCTTTGCTTGGGCCTCAGTTTCCTCGTTTACGTATTGAAAGGGTTGGCCCGGGAGATTTCCAGGTCTCTCTGGCTCCACTATTGCATGGGGGTGTGGTTCTCCACGTGGGTCTGTGTGCAATGAGTTTCAACGTGGCATGCAAACTAGGAGTCCTTCTTCACATCACCCAAGGGAGCCTGCAGGCTGTCCCGATTTAACGAACAAATGGAGCCCATCCTGCAGCGACCAGGGAAGGATTGCCGTGGAGGAAGACGTCATAAACTCGGGGGACAGAGAAAAAAGACAGATGGTGTTTGTGTAAGTCGAAGAACATTCTGGAAGCAAGAGGGGCCAGCCCAGACTGGGCAGGCAGATCCAGGCGGAAAGGTGCTGGGCTCTGACACAGTGACACTCGGGAAACATCGGAGGGAGGAAAGAAATCAACAACTCAAAAATCCAGGTCCTGGATTTGCCCTATCCTAGCGATGGCTTGGTTAGCAGATTATTTGTGCCAAGACTGTCTTTATGAGAAAGAGAGAGAGAGTGAGAGACAGGGATAGCTACTAACAGAGCTCACATAAGTGCAGCCCAGTCTCTGCCTCACTGCTTCTGGCTTTATTGCATCCTCTTATTTTCCTTGGAGAAGAATGTTTCTTCTAACCCTTGCTCAAGGAGGAAAGAGCCGAGTCCCAGAAGCAGAGCGAGACTTGGTCGGCCTCCTCCCACTGCCAGTCGTCTCAGGGAGCCGTCTGGTCCTTCCACCCTGCCCAGTCAGGACACCCCTGGGCCCTCTGGCAACTCGGGAGTCTGATAAATACACGTTCCCTGCCTCTCCCTCCTGCTGAATCAGAAGCTGTTCTGAAGGCTCGGCCGGGGCGGCACAGTCGTCCTCGAGGCTGAGTTTAGCACCGTGTCTGGCATAGAATGAGTTCAGAACAAGGGATTATCATTGCTGAATTAATCCGGTTTGCTGAATGCAGAAGGCAGAGCACTTCCATGAGTTGGGAGTGGTGGTTACCTGCCCCTTGAGCGCTCTGGCTAAGAGGTTTGCACCTGCCTCCCTGGAGAGGCCTCTTTTCACAACCCTGGCTGCTGTCTCCCTGACTTAGCGATCAGGCAGCTGTTAACATGAAGGGGATTGGAACCTGGTGAAAGTTTGGAGACGGCGAAGCTCAATTCCCCTGGCTTTCTTTTGTCCTTAGTAGGCTGCTCAGAGCCAGAGAGACCCTTCAGAGACAAGCTCTATGACCAAGAGCTTGGCCAGGTAGGGCTCTGTTTTGATTATGGCTAAATCCCAGAGCCCTGAAACAGTAGACATTCAATAAAACCTGCTGAAGGAATGAGTCAAATCCTTTGTTTTGTCTGGGTGACGTGTTATAAATCATTTCCCCATTCTGCACGGCTGCCCTTTGTCATACCCTGAATGATGGGTGTGTGTGTGTTGGGTGGCAGAGAGGACAGATGGAGGGAGACTTACAGTGGGAAGTGCTGGCTGAGCTCAGGAGAGCTCTCTGACTTCCTGCTACCCCACCTGGCTGCTTTAGTGGACTTACTCGATGCTTCTAAATCCACCCTTGATGCTCTTGATTACTGTTCCACCCAAGGACATGAGAAGCACTAGATGATCCCAGGACACATTTCCTTCTGTAATGCGTGTTCAGCAGCCAGAGGCTTGGGGTGGAGACGAAGGAGGCTAGGTTAGAAAGGCTAACCTCTCTCTCTACTTCCGTCCTTCTCTCTACGTACCCAACAGACAGCAGAGGTATTGCTTTATCATAAAGATCCTCATTCAGGGCCGCTGCTCACCCTTGCCCCAACTCTCTGTAGCAGTTTGCATGCAAGTAATGAAATACCCAACTAAAAATGGCTTATACAAAAAAACATTTAATTATCTCACTTAATAAGAAGTTATACGTAGGTTGTTCCAGGGTTGGTTCATTGGTTAAAGTTTGTCTTTTTGGAACTAGGCTTTTTTTTTTTTTTTAATTGTGGTAAAATATATAAACAATGTAAAATTTACCATTTTAACCATTTTAAAGCGTACAGTTTGGTGGCATTAAGTACATTCACATTGTTGTGCAACTAGTACCACTGTCCATCTCCAGAAACTTGTCGCTATCTCAAATTGATTTTTGTACCCATTTAACAACAACTCCCCATTTTCTCCTCCACACAACCCCTGGTAACCACTATTTTACTTTCCGTCTCTTTGAATTTGACTATTCTATTTCCTCATATAAGTGGAATCATACAATGTATGTGACTTGCTTATTTCACTTAGCATGATGTTTTCAAGGTTCATCCATGTTCTAGCATACATTAGAATTTCATTCCTTTTAAGACTGAATAATATTCCATTGTATGGCTATACGACATTTTGTTTATCCATTCATCAGTGGATGGACATTTAGATTGTTTCCACCTCTTGGCTATTGTGAATAATGCTGCTGTGAACATCAGTGTACAAATATCTGTTTGAGTCCCCACTTTCAGTCAATTTGTGTATGCCCCTAGAAGTGAAATTGCAGGATCATATGGTAACTCTATGTTTAATTTTTTGAGGAACTGCCATACTGTTATCCACAGTGGCTGCACCATCTTACATTTGCACCAGCACTGTACAAGGGTTCAAGTTTCTCCATATCCTCACCAACACTTTTTATTTTCTGTTTTTCAATTTTAGTCATCCTAATGGGTGAGAAGTAGTACTTCATTGTGGTTTTGATTTGCATTTTCCTTATTAATAGCAGTGTGCTATTTGTATACGTTCTTTGGAGAAAGAACTTTTGAAGGGAAATCTGTTTTTGAATTGGGGTTTTTAAAAATTTTATTTGTTCTGTTGAGTTGTAAGAATTCTTTGTTTTTAAAAATTTTATTTGTTCTGTTGAGTTGTAAGAATTCTTTATAGATTAACCCCTTATAAGATACACGATTTGCAAATATTTTCTCCCATTCTGTGGGTTGCCTTTTCACTCTGTTGATAGTGTCCACTGATGCAGAAAAGTTTTTAACTTCGATGAAGTCCAATTTATCTATTTTTGCTTTTGTCACCTGTGCTTTTGGTGTCATATCCAAGAAATCATCGCCAAATTCAATGTCGCGAAGATTTCCCTCTGTGCTTTCTTCTAAGAGTTTTATAGTTTTAGCTCATATGTTTAGGTGTTTGATCTATTTTGAGTTAATTTTTGTATATAGTGTAAGGTAAGGGACCAATTTCATTCTTTTGCATGTGGATATCTACTTTTCCCAGCACCGTTTGTTGAAAGATTATCCTTTCCCCATTGAATAGTCTCGGCCGGCCTGTTGAAAATCATTTGACCATTTATGCTCAGGTTTATTTCTGGGCTCTTTATTCTCAGGTTCTTTTCATCCTTTGGCTCCATCAGCCTAAGTGTGTAGGGCTTTTTGCCTCATTGTCACACAGTGCCTGCCTCAGCTCCACACATCATATCCTATAATCATGTTCAAAGGCAAGGACCAAGAATGTGTGTGTTTGTGTCTCTCTCTTTTTAATCAGGAATATTTATCAGGAGGCTCCAGGCCCCAGCAAACTTCCTCTTAAGCAATGGTGCTCTGAAGCTAGTTTGTATCTTCTTGTGAAAGCAGATTATTACATTCTCTAGAAATTTGTGAGCTGGTTGCTAAACACCAGCACCCTTGAAATCAGCAAGGTGGCAGAATTTATACAGGGAACTTGGTGAATGCCACAGGACTTTGTTCCCCAGAAGAATGGTTTACCAGCCCACTGTTGCCCTTAAGTCTTACTAGTCAGAACTGGATGACACGGCCACTCCTAGCATAAGGGAGTCTTAGAAAGTGAGTATCTGTCATTCTCAGCCTCTCTCAAGGGAGACGGACTTGCCCAGCAGGCTGGGAAAGGGAGAGATGCAGAGGCACCAATGGTGCTGCCACTAATGGCTCCCAATGCCCGGAAGGTTTTGTAGTCACTTACAAGAATGTCTTTTAAACGTCTCAGAAGACAGAGTGCTGTGGGCTCAGTGGTCGGATGGACAGAGCTCTGGCAGTTGCCATGGTACTTTTGCTAAGGGGTGGGGCCCCAGGGCAGGCTTTCTAAACCACACGGTGGGGGCCTGGTAAGGACGCAGCCTCAGCAACTTCCTGTAACCACAACGGGGGCCGCCTTGACCCAGAGACCGAGGACAGCCAGTGGACGTGAGGCTTGGGATGGGATGCTGAAGGGAAGGGAGGAGCCCTGAGGGGCTGCAACAGGGGTGGGCGTCTCAGAGGGTGGTGGAAGTGTTCCCCGAAGAGGAACCAACAAAGGAAGGCCTGCTATCCTTGGGCAAGAACTCCTTGCGGATAAGGCCGTGGATGGCCAAGATCTTGAGGAGTCCGTGGCGAAACTTCTGGCCGATGAAAGCGTAGATGAGGGGGTTGAGGCAGCTGTGGAGGAAGCCCAGAATCTCGGTGGCATCCAGGGCCCGGCCAATGTCGTTGCGACGTTCACAGGTCTCCTTGATGACCCGGAGCCTCATGAGGGTGTCTGAGACCAGGACCAGGTTGTAGGGCAGCCAGCAGAGCAGGAAGACGAGCACGACAGCAAAGATGACCCGCATGGCCCGGTGCTTCTGCCCCATGTGGGCCTGAAACAGCGTGCGCAGGGTGAGTCCATAGCAGAACAGCATGACCAGCAGCGGCAGGAGGAAGCCGAAGGTCTGGGGCAGGACCCGCATCACCATCCGCCATTTGGTTGTGTTGGCACCCAAGTCCTCGTAGCAGACTGGGCTGGAATAGGGTGGGTAGACGGCCTTGCGGAAGAGGAGGATGGGCAAAGACAGAATGAAGGACAGGGCCCAGATGCCTAAGCATATGAACTTGACCCAGTTCCGCTTCTGGGTCAGCGTGCGTGTGGCGTGGACGATGGCCAGGTAGCGGTCCACGCTGATGCAGGCCAGCAGTAGAATACCGCTGTAGAAGTTGACTTCCTTCAGGAGCGAGACGACCTTGCACAGGGTTGTGCCAAAGATCCAGCCCTTTGCCTTGGAGGCTGCCCAGATGGGCAAGGTCAGGGCAAAGAGCAGGTCGGCTATGGCCAGGTTCAGCAGATAGACATCGGTGACAGAGCGGCTGACCCGGCTGTATAAGACCACCAGCATCACCAGCGAGTTACCCAGCAGGCTCAGCAGGAAGACCAGGGTGTAGATGACGACCACGGCGTACACGTTCACTTCCAGAGTTTCTGGCCGGCATGGGGCAGAGTCCGGTAGAATCATGGGCAGGTCAGTGTTGTAACTGTAATTACCGTAATCATACAAGTTCACATCGTTGAAGTTGAATTCTCCCATATTGGAGGTAAACTTAAATCTTGGCCTAGAGGAGAGAGATGAGCGTTACTGTAGAATAAAATCTCCCCAGATTCTAGCCCGTCTGCCAGTGAACCTCAGGTAGGATTCTTTGAGTAGGCTTGTATACTACATGGAAGTAACTTTCACTTCAGTAAGTGTTGGGGGCCCTAAGGTTATGAGACACATTTAGTGATGAATGGTACAGTTCACAAAAAGAGTATAGGTCCCTTCAAAGTCAGAGAGGGGTTCTTAGCACTATCCACAGCATTGCCATCACCCAGAACATTGTGGAAACTTCCCTTTGGTTAATCCCTACAGAACATGCTGTCTTGGATCTCTCAACAGCAAGCATCTCCGATTGTTGAGGCTGAATTTCATGTCAGAAACACAAGGTACCCTTCAGTCCTCAATCGGAATTAAACCCAAAATCTCATGGGACATCCAGAAAAAGATCAAGGTTTGACTATAAGGCTGAGAGAGGAATCCCTTTGTCCAGCTTTCTGAAAGTGATTTGAAAAGAAGCGTTCTGGAAAAGCAGTTTGAGCGATCGTAGCATAGTTTCAGGATGCTCAAGTTTAGAAGAGAGTTTGCTCAGTTAGTGTGGCCCAGCATTTTCCTCTCAGGATGCAGAAGTATTGACGTAGTTTGAAAAAATATATTAAAAATCATAAGTAGGTGGCTGATGGACTGATTCTTCAAGTGGGTGGAAGTGTAACAGATTATCTTGGCAGTTCTGGGCAGGGGTGAGCAGAGAAAGCCAGTATGCTCCCCCACAAGAGGGAGGGACAGCAGGGAGCAGAGAAAAGAGGTGGGGACACACTACTCTTGTTTTGGTGGCTTTTCAGTCCTGGTGGGGACCCTTCCTGTCCTGCCAGTGTGTGCCTTCATCCATCCCTGACTCCTCAGCACCCCTAGACTACCCCCAGGTCAACCCACCTCTGTTGGCTCTGCCCTTGTTATGGGGGGAGCTTCTGGGGGAAGCTGCTGCCACTCTGAAATATTATCCCTGTTTTCAAAGAGGAAGTAAACTAAAGTAACTACTGAATTAGCTTCTTTTTGAACCACAAAATATATCACCATCATGCCATAGGACCGTGGTGTGACCATATGCGAGTTTGTAACCCACCTCAAAATGGAGCCCAGTGTTAAAGAAAAAACATAAAGTAATTACTTTACACTCACTAGGGTGATCATAATAAGAAAAGATGGACAATAAGGATGTTGACGAGGATGTGAAGAAATTGGACCCCTCATACATTGCCGACGGGAATGTAAAATGATACAGCTGCCTTGGAAAACAGTGCAGCAGTTGTTCAAAAAGTTAAATATAGAGTTCCCACAAGACCCAGCAATTCCACTCCTAGATATATACCCAGGAGAATTGAAAACGTATGTCCTCACAAAAACTTGTACGTGAATATTCATAGCAGCTTAATAGCCAAAAAGTGGAAACAATTCAAATGTCCATCAACTGAGGAATGGATAAACAAATTGTGGTATACACATACAATGGGATATTTTTCAACCATAAAAAGTAATGAAGTATGATACACACTACAACATGGATGGACCTTGAAAAAATTACTCCAAATGACAAAAGCCAGACACAATGGGCTTCCTATTGTATGATTCCATGCATGTGAAATCTCCAGAATAGGCAAATAGGGCAAGACAGAAAGTAGATTGTGGTGGCCAGGTGCTGGGGGCAGGCAGATGTTAATGAGCACAGGGTTTCTTTTCGGGGTGATGAAAACTGTCCTAGAATTCGACAGTAGTGATGGTTGTGTAACTTTGTGCATATACTGAAAACCACCGAGTTGTATACTGTGAATGAGTGACTTTTATGGTTGTGTGAATTACATCTCAATTTAAAAAAAGATTAACCAAAGGTGTATAGCCTTGCAAAGCAAATACAAATATTAAAACAACAACATCAACAACAAGAAAAGTCTCGGGAAGCTTTTCTCTTTAGCAGAAGACAGTCCGTTACTGTCAATCATACACAGCAAAGAAGAAAGCCGAACGGGGTTCAGAGAAACTGGAAAAATAATGCCCTTTTCCTCCAGAGTGAAAGACTTCTTAGCCTTCACCTTCCTGGGAAGGCATTACTTCCTCCCCTAAATGATGGGGGCTGGATAAACTGCCTTCTCGGCACAGGGAGACCACAGACAAAGCAGATTCGGTCAGTCCATGAACCTAGAAAGATGTGATGATGATGAGGGTGGGGCCCTCTCTAGCTGGGAGGATGGGGTGACAGTGGGAGAGGTGGATAGTAGAGCTGGCTCTGCCAGTGTTGTCAGCAAAATCTGCAGGAAGCCACTGGCTGTGCAGTCCCACGGTTAGAGCAAGTCTGCTCAGAGGCCCAGGGTTCAATGAAGTCACGAGGTCAAGGGTGGGTCACTCTGGGAGCAGAGAAGCTCTTAAGGGAACCAGTGACCTAAGAGATGACCCACCTTTGAGAGTGGGTGCAGAGCATGATGGGTGCAGAGAGCTTGAGCCCATAGAGAGCAGAACCCTACATTCATGAGAATCGGCTGTGAGAAGGCAAGGCTGGGGCAGCCTCAGAAACTGCCCCACCAGAAGAGGCAGCAGCAGCCTAGCGTGTTTCGCAGAGAAGTCCTCATTCTGGATAATCCAGTGCTTGGCTGTGCTGGGGGTGGGCTCACGCTCCTTGGCATGAAGGATCAGCTTGAGGGTCCAGAGGGAGACCACGCAAGTCGGGACAGAAGGCAGAGAACTCAGGAAAGAGAACCAGTTCCAGGCAATGACCTCCCCCCACTGGGTGGAGAGTGACATCTTGTTGTTTGTTTGTTTTTTTAATTTACCGGTTTCTAGAGAGGATGTTTTGACAGTTAAAGGGAGAAACTAAGGGAAAGGAGATGACACATCTGAGATCTGCTTTGTGCCTCTCAGGTCCCTGATCTTCCTCGATCGTTACACATAGATATGAGTAGCCTCTGAGAAGACAGGCACCGAGAGGCTCACACACCAGCCTGTGGTCACACAGCCTGTAAGTGCTACAGCCAGGAGGCCAGCTAAGTGTGAAGGGCTCCATGCACTATTTCCAGTCTACAGACCTTCTTCTTAAATAAAAAATCACACCTCGGCTTTGGGCTTTCAGCTCAGAGGAGGCCAAGGTGCAACTTTCTTCAGTCATCTCGAATGTGGTTCATCCGACACAGGCCACCTCCACCATGTTGCCTAAGTTCAACCCCAACGAGATCAACGTTCTACACTTGAGATGCACCAGAGGGAAGTCGGTGACACGTCTGCCCTGGACCCCAAGATTGGCCCCGGGTCTGTCTCCAAAAAAGGTGGGTGATGACATTGCCGAGGCAACCAGTGATTGGAAAAGTCGAAGGATAACAGTGAGACTGACCACTCAGAACAGACGGGCCCAGACCAAGGTGGTGCCTTCTGCCTCTGCCTTGATCATCCAAGGACTCAAGGACCCACCAAGAGACAGAAAGAAGCGGAAAAACATTGAGCACAGTGGAACCATCACTTTTGATGAGATTGTCAACATTGCCTGACAGATGCGGCACCCATCTTTAGCTAGAGAACTCTCTGGAACCATTAAAGAGATCCAGGGGTCTGCCCAGTCGGTGGGCTGCCGTGTTGATGGCTACCACCCTCATGACATCATAGATGACGTCAACAATGATGCAGTGGAATGCCCAGCTAGTCAGGAACCACAAAGGAAAATGTTTCAATAAAGGATCATTTGACACCAAAAAAAAAAAAAAATCACGCTTCATATATTAAATATATTTGTAAGCTAAGTCCTTGAGATATCATTAAGTCAACCTGTATATCATTCACTTCTGTTGTTTGATGTTTTGTGCATTGCTTTCTTTGCTATTCCTTCAGCCCAGAATGAAAGAAACAGCCATTGCAGGAGTGATAAACCAAACATCCTAGAACTGGTTGGCCCCTACAGATCACCCAGTCAGGTTCTCCAGAACCAAGCAGGAGAGTGACTCATTGAGCAAACTCGCCAGCCGCTTAATGACTCATGGTAATTCAGAAACTTTGTGGATGGGATGATTCTAATATATTTCATGAAAATACTACGGAACAGGCACGTGTATAAGATGTCAAATATTTAAGGCTATCTTTTTTTTTTTTTTTTTTTTTGAGGAAGATCAGCCCTGAGCTAACATCCATGCTAATCCTCCTCTTTTTTTGCTGAGGAAGACTGGCCCTGAGCTAACATCTATTGCCAATCCTCCTTCTTTTTTTTTTTTTTTTCCCCCAAAGCCCCAGTAGATAGTTGTACGTCATAGCTGCACATCCTTCTAGTTGCTGTGTGTGGGACGCCGCCTCAGCATGGCCGGACAAGTAGTGAATCGGTGTGCGCCCGTTATCTGAACCCCAGGCCGCCAGTAGTGGAGCGCGAGCACTTAACCGCTAAGCCATGGGCCGGCCCCCAAGGCTATCTTTTTAACAACCACAAAAAATTCAAACCATCATTTTAATACAATTCCAGTATTCTTTCTCTCTATAAATATAACCCACACATATTTGCGTTTGACAGAGGGGTGGAGGGACTCAAGGGTCAGTGTGTGGCCCTTCCTCAGCCCCAGTCCAGGCCAAAGCAGAGAGAGCTGGCTGAGTCGGGAAGGGAAGGAGGTGGGCAGTGAGTTGCCCTGAGTGATTGTTGAAGAAGAGGGTAGGGAAGAGACGCAAGGCTCTCTATCTGGCGTTAGGGAGGCCTGAAGAGAGAGAATGAAGAGACCGAGGGGTGTGGGCGAGGCCCACCAGGGCGGGGATAGATGCTGGGATAAATGGAGGGTGGATGTCAAGGTGGACAGAGGACAGAGACACTCTGGATGGTGGGAGGGGCGGGGGCTCCACAACTTACCGGGACTCTGGGCTCTTCACATATAGGCCACCTCCAGGAGGACAGTGCCTGACTGCAAGGGCGGTGGTGCTGAGCACACACTGAAGGAAGTGATGTGGATTAGATTGCTCAATGCTGGGGTGGAGCCCCTGAGAGTTCGATATGCTTTTGATAATTTGAATAATTAATTCCCAGATCATCTCTTCGATAGGAGTCATTTTTAGGATAGGTGGAGCTCATACTGGGAAAGGACCTATGGCGTTTGTAACCAATCTTGCCGTTTCACGGATGAGGAAACTGAGGCCCTCGCAAAGGAAGTGGTTTGCCCAGGACCACACAGATTTCTCCCATCTTTGCCCTGATCTCAGCAACCCCTGCCTCTTTCCACTGACCTGTCGGACTCTCCCCACACCTCTGGCTTCTCCGTGCTTACTATCCAGCAGCGCCGCTGTTCTAGGACGTCTTTCATATCTCAAAGGGGAACAGCTCAGGGAGACAACAGAGATGGAACTTGAGCTTCTGGCAAGCCTGGCAGCTTTCCTTCCAGCACCCAATGCCTCTTGTCTCCACCCCACCCACCCCGGGAATCCTTAAAGCCTCACAGATTCCTTCTCCAAGCCATGTCCCTTTGAGAACCCCCACCCAAGTAGGGGCCCCCTTCGACCTCTCCTTGTCTTTTGCTTCACTCCCCAGCCATCTGCTCTGACCATGAACCCCTCGTAGGGCACTCTGCTCTTTCTCGGCTTGTACACTTGGCATTGGTTCTGTAGGAGCTACCACCTTTGGAGCCAAGACCATCTAATTTGGAAAGAAAGCCCTTTGGTGAAAGTTAAAATCCCACCCAAGTCCACACACATTTTTGAGAACAGTATTGAGGGACACTAAGCGTATATTTTGTCACATTTGCTATTGATTACAACTGAAAGGATAAATACAGGGAGAGCAGCGAGCATGAATTCACCGCTCCCGAGCAAGCCCTCACCCAGCGAACAATGCCTTGATCCCTTCCTCTCCTCCTTACCCTAGCCTCTTGCTCCATGCCGCCCAAGTTCCACAGCGTACTCCAAGCCTCTGCAAACTCACCTAACCTGCCTTGCCCAAGGAAAGAACCTTCGAGCCCAACTGTTTAGCAAATGTAGTCTTTGTCAACTCCTCTCTTGCTCACGTTGGAGAAGAATGTGATGACTCCCGCCCAGGTGATGCTAAAACCAGAGGCTCAATACACACAGAGAGAGGCGGATGAGTGCGGTGGTTAAGAACCTTGCAAACTGAGCAACTCTGGGCAAGTGACCTGTTTTTCTGAGTGTCAGTGTACTCATCTGTAAACTGAGGCCGATGATAGAATCTAACCCACTGGGTGGTGCTGAGGTTGAAAGGAGGGATTGCCCGTAAAGCACTTAAGACATGTAAAGCGCGATGTTAGCATTTATTGTCATGATCGTGGTTACTGACATAGTTTATCTACCAATAGCATGCATCCCCAAGCAAGGGAAAGCAGCCGATCGGCTTGCCAGCCTGACTTCCACATACGTCTTAATTTGCTCTGACCTGGATAGCAATAGTCAATTAGCCGTGATGGTAAGTACCAAGTAGGATCTACTTCTGGGAAAAGTACATTCCAGAATTCATATCATTAATCCTTACAACCACCCATGAAGTATGCACTTTCTAAATGAGGAAACTAAAACTGAGAGTTAAGCAACTTACCTAGAGTGACACAGACGAACTGGGTTTTAAGAAATTTTTTTTACCTGACCTCAAATCCTGTATTCTGCCCACCAGAACAAGGCACTGGATCCCAGCCTCGGGTTTCTGAGCTCTGCTAGGTACCTGTCTGTCCCAGACAACTGAATACAAGGTGTAGAAAGGAGGGCCCAGAATCTGACATTTTCTAGCTTGTCCACTTTATTTTCATTAGGCTGATTTCACTTCCACTGAGCCCACCACAGGCATACAGGTGGTGGGGGAAATAAAGAACCAGCTTCCAATCCTGTTATGGTCAGAGTGAGCTTGGACAAGTCGTTTCTCTCTGGGACTTGGAAAATGAGATTGTTCTAGATCTTTAGCTACTTACATTTAAATTAATTAGAATAAAATAAAAAATTTAATTCCTCAGTCGTACCAGCCCCATTTCAAGTGCTCAATAGCCACCTGTGACTAGTGGCTACCATATTGGACAGTGTAGATATAGAACATTTCCATCATTGCAGAAAGGTCTTTTGTGCTGGGCTGTCTAGGTGAAGACTTAGTTATCTTTAGCTCTAAACTTCTGCAATTCATCACCTCAGTTCTTAGGGAACTCAGAGGAGGAGACTGACATTTCCAAGTTCTTTCCATCAGAAATATGCCCCCAGCAGCCCGAAGACTGAACGGCTCACCTACCTGTGGTTGCCACTCCGGCTGCTCTCGTTATTGGAGTGCCACCGACACCTCCGCTGTGACTCAGGGTGTGCTGGCAGTCAGGGCTGTCGGAAAAAAGTGAAACAGCATATATGGGGAAACTTCTGACTCAGGCTGCCAAGGGGGAAATCTGGGAGGCTCACCAGGGGAGGTGTCCCCACGGAGGAGCAATGACGTCAGTCCTGGGACTCTGACTCCAGGCCAGCGCTCCACCTGGTGATTCTGCAACGAGCCCTAGGGATTTTCACGCCTCCCTCTCTAATGGCTTCTGGCGGGGCCTGCCAGTCTGAAGGTGGGGGTTGGCCTAGTCCCCCTGTGTCTCTGAGCGTTTTGAACCTGCACCTTCTTTGCAAGGAAGATGCAGGCAACCCCAGGCCCCAGCCGATAGACTTGCCTGAATTTGCACGCACACTTTCTTCCTTCCTTCTAGGGTCGGTGGGAGAAGTGTCTCTCCTTCTCTTTCTGGTAACTTCTTGCCTCTGGCTGTGGGACCCACTGCCTCTCACATCCTTGGGGATCCTGCCTCCGCCCCTCAAACATCTCTCTCTCTCAGCTTGCTTATGTCTTTCTCTCCCTCCGTCTGTTCTAGGACTCCTTTTGCTACTGCTTTCTGCTGGTTTCCTTTTCACAGGCAAACTTCTTGAAAAAGCAGTGAGCAGCTGCTGTCTCCACTTGGCCCCTTCTTGTTCTCTGGCCAGCCCACTGCAACTGGCTTCCGTCCCAGGCTCTGCTGAAACAGCTTTTGCCAAGGTTACCAATGACCTCTGGGTTGCTAAACCCAATAAACCCTTTTCTTAAATACAACTGCTTTAATATAAAAATAAAGCATGCATATTGTAAAGAACATAGGTGATACAAAAGCATATAAAGTAAAACCTGAAAGGTTTCCTTCCACCCCCCCGTTCACTCATTTCTTGTGTACACCTTCCAGACTTTTCCCCACGCATATATAATCATATGTCGCTTAATGATGGGGATACGTTCTGAGAAAGGCGGCATTAGGCGATTTTGTCCTTGTGCGAAAATCACAGAGTGTACTGAAGGGGAAACAAAATTTCCCACCCCAAAATGTGTCTCTTTAAGATGAGGATTACCTTAGGCTGATTATTTTTAGGAAACAAAAGACTCAGCAGGTTTTTCTTGTTACCTCCCCCTTAACTGCCTAAAAGAATTCGGATAAAAAACCTGTCTCAGGAAGCGAGCTATTACCTTAGCACAACACGAACTGGATGGTAGACAGGGAGGAACCTAGAAAAACCTGTTTGTTGGGCTCCCCTCTGTGTTCTTCTGTTTCTGTGTGGACAAACACTTGTTTTCCAAACATTTGCTCTTTTTCACCTACCTGTGAATTGCATTCCTTCTGTTTGAAGTCCTGACTTTCCCCACCCCCAACATTTTCTTTTGTCTTTAGTTGAGGATGGTATTTAAGGTGAAGGCTTCCACCATTTTGGCAAGTTACTTGGTTTTCCTGGGTTTCTCCCGTGTATACGTTATTAAACTTTTGTTTGTTTTTCTCCTGTTAATCTGTCTCATGTCAATTTAATTCTTAGACCAGCCAGAAGAATCTAGAAGAGTAGAGGAAAATTTCTTCCTCCCTTACAGTACTTATACAACCTAGATGGTACAGCCTACTACATACCTAGGCTGTATGGTACTAATCTTATGGGACCACCATTGTATATGCAGTCTGTCCTTGACAGAAACATTGTTATAAAGCATATGCCTGTACAAACATGTTTTCTTTCCTTAATAAAAATGATATTCAACTAGTTATTTTGTTCTGCACCTTAACAAGGTATCGTAGACCTGTTTCACATCAGTACATATAGATCCATCTTACTCTTTTCAGTGACAACATAATGGTCCATGGTAAGGGTGTATCATGATTTATTTGATAATTAACTTGTAGATGAATATTTAGGTTCTTGCTATGAGCATCTTTGGAAGTAGGTCTTTGGGAACTTGGACGAGTATTTCCGTAGCTTTGGTGTAATTTTGCTGGGTCATATCTGTGCATGTTTAAATTTTGATAAATACTACAACATTGCTCTCCAAAGAGTTTACTCTCCCACCATCAGTTTATAAAAGGGCCTGTGACCCTCCATACTTGTATTGTCTCATATCTGTCGATTACATTAAAATATTTTCTCCCAGCCTGCTATTTGCTTTTTAGCTTTATTTATGGTGAAATGGTTACTGTTCAGGTCTTACCCTATTGGATCTTTGCATCAATGGATCCCGCTGACTCCATTCTCTCCTTATCTCTCCTGAACCTCTCTGGGCACTTTTACTGCTTTATTTCTCAATTCATTCCTCAAACCTGGAGGTTCTGCCTGGGTCCTCTTCTCTACCCGCTCTCCCTATGCCAGCCCACCTGCCTCCTTGGCTTCAGCTATCACCCAAATGTGCCGGTGTCTCCTACTCCCACAGTTCCCAGCTTCTCTCCTAAGTTCAAACTCCTACATGCAATTACCTTCTGAACTCCCCCCTGGGGTCCCACAGGGGCCACACACTGAACATGTGGAAAATTGGTCTCACGGAATTCCCCGACACATATCCTCCTCCTCCTGAGCGTCCTCCCTTCTGCTCCTCTGCCCAAGCTGGAAGCAGGCACGCCCCTCACACTCCCCTCGCCCTTCCTCTCCACAGAGACTACCTCCTTAAGGTCTCTCTAGGTTATCTCCTCCTCATCATCTTCACTGACAGCACCAGGCAACGCTCCAAACTACTGCCATGGTCCTGTGGGAGCTGTAGAGTTGAGAGGGCTGTTGGAGTCAGGATCCCAGCCATGTCACTTACTGGTTGTAGACTTTGGGCAAGTTATTTAATCCCACTGGATCTCAGTTTCAGCATCTGTAAAATGGGGACAATGAGAGCACCCACTGCATAGCGTTGTCATGTGGATTACGCGAGTCTATATTATAAAGCGCTTAGAAAGGTGCTCGGCCCTGTTGACGGCTGCTGCCGCTACCCCGACTACTATTCTAAATGCTCTCTGCCTCAAGTCTTTTCCCCTCAATCCGTCCTCCATTCTGCTCCCAGAACGATCTTCCTAAAGCGTGAATTGGATCATGCGCTTTTCCTCTTACAACCCTTCCAGGACCCCCGTTGTCCTCAGGCAGAGTCAAACTTCCGACCCGGGCATGTGGTTCCCCTGTGTCCGACCCCTGTGTACTCCTCCAGCCTCCTTTCAGGCTGTGTTAAGAGGCGGGGGCTGGTGTGCCGAGTTAAGAATATGTGGAATGAGGGCCACAGGCCACCCCCATGGGGTCACCCAGTAGCTCCCTCAGCATCCCAGCTCCCACTTTGGGGAAGTGAAACCAATGGGGTCGTTTTCATTGATTGAATGCACCCACCCAAAGGAAGTGGAGTCACAAGATTTATTATTTACAGATCCCAGGAGAGGGTGAGGGGTGCAGTGAGGCAGAGGAAGGGCCGTCCTCTCTCCCAGCTCTGAGCGAGCAGGAGATAGAGAGCAAGGTAGCAAGCCTCTATTACTTACAAGGTGGTCGGGCCTGCGGTCACTAATGCTTCGTGGGCTCAGCTCTAAGTGGCTGTTTTAAAAGGTGCCCCTGAGGGCCGGCCCGGTGGTGCAGCGGTTAAGTGCACGCGCTCTGCTGCGGCAGCCCGGGGTTCGCGGGTTCGGATCCCCGGCGCGCACCGATGCACCGCTTGTCAAGCCATGCTGTGGCGGCGTCCCATATAAAGTAGAAGAAGATGAGCACAGATGTTAGCCCAGGGCCAATCCTCCTCAGCAAAAAGAAGAGGATTCGCATTGGATGTAACTTAGGGCTGATCTTCCTCACAAAAAAACATAAGTAAATAAAAGGTGCCCTGGAGAAGCAAAGCAAGAGTTTGTGGTGGACATCCTAAGCTCGGGTCCTTATAGAAACGTCCAGACTCTGGGCGTGAGCAGGGTCGTCATACCGTGAAATGCCTCAGCAGCAACTCGGAAAAGCAAAAGTTGTTCCTTAAAAGTTTCAAAAACTCAGAAAAACAAAAGTTGTTCCTCTGATCGCACAGGCCACATCCCCTTGAGCCTTTGACTCTGGCCACAGGGAAGCTCTTGCAGATCCCCCAAGGGCTGTTCTGGTTCCGCCTGGGGCACGGCAGGCACTTTTCTCTTCCCGCCCTTTTTGTCTGTCTGGCCGACTCTCCCTTTCGCTTCCAGTTCAGCCCAGTCGCCCCCTCTCTGTGCTCTCTGCACCCCCAGAGCTGCCTCTGTCAGGGCTTCAACTGTGGGGTTTGTAATCCTGTTTGGGGCTTCTGCCTCCCCATGTGAGGTTCTTAAAAGCAGGGACCACATATCTGTAATCTCTATATCCCCAAAGCAGCCACAGTGTTTGCCATATCCCAGGTGCTTCATACCATTTTGCTGAGCCCTGAAGGAGTTGACAAGGTGGGGAAACTAACATACCTTGGAGCATCTGAGCGACACCTAATTTAAAGAAATAATTATGTCGCCCAAATTTCCCAAGGCGTCCCCAGTCCACGAGCACAAACGGAGTCCCTCAGCAGCGATAACCCCAGTGCACCAGCTCAGACCCCGTGTGTTCATGCTGGGCTTTGTCCCCCTGCTAAGTGCTCCCCAGGAATTTGGGGGAGTCTGTTGGGGGTGTCTCCCACCTGCTCCTCTGGGTGCTGCTGTGCTAGACGTGTGGCCTGGACTTACTGGCGAAGCACTGGTGTCCTCGCAGTTGCCACGCTCTGGGGTGGTCTGTGGGGACCCTGTGGAACCTTCTGCTGGAGGGCCGGGGGCTAATGAGAGCTTTTCAAATGGCGTTTGTGGAGGTTTTGTGCTCTCCCTTGGACTTGGTGGGGACTCTTTAGGGGGCGGCGTTGAGCTAGAGGCTGGTCGTCAGCATTGCCGTTCCATCTCTCCCGAACGGGGAGAAGGTCAAGCCCCCCATTCCTGGCCCTTGATTTCCTTCTGGTGAGTTCTCATCCAGGAGCATCTTGCTTCCTCTTAGAACAGAGGCTGGGTCCCCTCTCCCCCATCAGATCATCAGGCAGGCCTGAGCTGCACGCCGGGGTTCCTCCTGGAATACAATGTCTTCTGCTCTAATAACAATCCTCCCCTAAGAAAAGTATGTGAGCAGCTCTGACCTCCAGGAGGGGACCGCTGCCCTTTAGGGGAGGGGGATTCTGTTGCCCGGGCCGCTCTGGGAGCCCCAGCTCTGCGCCCCACTCCCTCGGTTCCCTGCCCCCTCCTTCTCGCTGCCTTGCTAAGGAGAAGTTCTCTTCGGTTCTCCAGGGCAGGAACTGTTGCAAAACCTCTTGCTCCATGCGCCGGTGATGGGATGCAACTCCGGGCGGTCCTGACCCCAAGGGGGAGTCCACAGCTCTGGTCAGAGCCACAGGGTTGCCCAACCTCTGTGGAGGCAGAGGGGACGGCGACAGCATGCATGCAGGTCTGGGGCCACACAGTCCACCCCGGAGCCCAGGTAGGGCGGCTAATCGCCTTGTCACCGAGTGAGCCCCACGCTTCCTCTGAAACAGTATTCTCAGAAGCACCGCAATTGAGTGCCCACTGAATGACGTAGGATTTGCGTAAGACTTTTTGGGCAGTCAGGAGAAACGATCCTGTACTGTGGAGCTACACGTGTCCTCTTCAACTGTCTTTATGAAAGTCTAGCTGAGCGAGCACTGCACAGGGAGTCCTATAGACTCAGGCCCTCCCTCCAGGCACTCAGGACTTAGGGTGGATCGAGTCACCATAGTGGTTGGAAGGGAAGGAGAGAGAGCCCCGAGCCCCATGTCTGTGCCTCCTCTCCCGCCCACCAAACAGATGCCCCAGAGCAACCGGGACTCCCACACACTGCTGGCCATTTCATTCCTAGGTATTTACCCAGGAGAAATAAAGGTACACATCTACACAAAGATTCGTACACAGGTGGTGATAGGAAACTTATTTGTAATAGCCTCAAACTGGAAACAACCCAAATGTCCAGCAACAGGTGAATGTGTAAACAAACTGTGGTATACCCATGCAGCGGAATACTACTCAACAGTAAAAAAGGAACTATTGATATATGATATAATGACATGGATAAATCTCAAACTAATTATGCTGAGTGAAAGAAGGGAGACAATGAAGAGTGCATACTGTATGATACTATTTATATAAAATTCTAGAAAATGCAAACTGCTTTCTAGTGACAGAAAGGAAATAAGTGGTTGCCTGGAGATGGGGAGAAGGGAGGGGAGGGGGGAGAATACAAAAGGCCCAGGGAAACATCTGGGGTGATGGATGTGTTCATCATTTTGAATACAGTGATGGTTTCATGCGTGTATATTAAAGTCAAAACTCATCAAATTGTACAATTTCTGTGAAGTGTATTATATGGCAATAGTACCTCGAGAAAGCTGTTAGAAATGAAAGATGACAAAAGCAGACCCTGAAGCAGACTCCAGGATGTTCCTGAGTCTCGTGAAGGGTGGGCTGGGCGAGGAGGGAGTGCACAGGAGAAACGGCAGGGCCACTGGGTCTTATTCTCCGTCAAGGACTTTCTGAGCCTGAAGGGACTTTAGAGAGGATGGTGCCCGACTCCACCACATTACAGAGAAAGCCCGGCCAGCTGAGGGCTTTCCCAAAGTCGCCCGGCTCATCGGTGGTAGATGTGGGGCTCGAACCTGTGTCCTGACTGCCAGCCCAGCTCCTTCCATTCTCCACACCACCATCTGTCCACACAAGTGCTGTCTGCCTTAGATCACCAACTTCTAGAAGGTAGGACTGGTCAGAGGGCCAGGAAGGGCCAGGGGAGGGAGCTGGGTAGGTGGGGTGGCTGGTCCTGGGCGAGTCTTGGTCAGTCGACCTGGGCTTCTCCTTTCTGGAAGCAGGCTGGGCAGCGGCGCTCTCTCTTCTTGTAGTCCACAGAGCAGGCATGGCAGACCAGGCCTCCGCAGAGCCTGGGGAGCAGAGGTGGGAAGAGTCCAGGCACAGGGGTGTGTACGGGGGACGGGGTCATGGGGTTCAAGCATCTTCGGGTCTACCTGTCTGTTTCTCATTTCCCAGCAGAACGGTCCTGGGTCTGTCTCAGGAGGCCTCCCCTTTCCTAAAGGGAGTCCCGATGTCCCACCCCTCCAGAGGCCCCTGACTGCAAGTGGCAGGTTCTCCCAATGGCCCACTTTCCTCTCTCCTGCTGCTTGTCTTGCCACCATGCCCCCAGAGGACGTTGAGGGGAGCAGCTTCCTCTGTACAAGAAAGCTCTCCCCAGATAAGGGCCCATTAACCAGTCTATTACCCAGTCCCATCTTCCAGACACCATTCCTTGTCTGACCCCTTTCCACTGCCCTCGTTCATGTCTCCGCTAAGTGTAGGGTACAATGAGTGGCCAGCTTTAGATGGCCTTTCATAAACGTCCAGTTCCTGTGTCCATCCCTTCCCTGGAGTGGCCAGGGGGCCGTGGGCTGGTGGAAACTGGGCTGTCCCAGAGGAAGGATTCTGTGTCCTACGCGTTACCTGCACGGGGACCGCCGAGACAGCCGGCCAAAGATCTTGCTACAGCCGACACAGCATCCAGGGGCCACGGAAGAGAGATGCTGGACCTTCTGCCACAGCTCGTCCTTCTCTCTGATGCGCGGATGGAGGTGGAGAGAGAGAGAGACACACACACACACACAGGAAGATAGAAATAGCACAGATGGAGAGACAGAGTGACAGAGGGCATCACGCAGAGATAAAAAGAGACAGAGAGACAGCAGGCCAGAAAGACAGAGACACAGAAATGGAGAGGGAGACAAAGAGGAACAGAGAGAGACGACCACTTAGAGAGAAAGGAAGTTGAGGAGTTGCAGAGGGCGACAGAGACACACGGAGAAGTAGAGAGAGAAACGTAGAAGGAGAGAGAAAGACACAGGGAAAAAGACACAGAGACAGACAGAGACAGAAAGGGAGAGACAAACACAGAGAAAGATGGAGAGACAGAGAAACAGACATAGCAATGGAGAAAGAGACAAATGAAGAGACAGTGAGAGACACACAGACATAAGACATGTGTGAGTGTCCAGTCTTTCTGGGAAGATAGATGGTGACAGCCAGGCCCCCCTCGCCCAACATAACCTTGACACATGATTTAAGAACTTGTTCTATCCCACCTCCTCCAAGGAGCGCTCCCTGATCTCGGAAGCCCCTGGTGGTTTCTTGCTCAGACTCCTATAGCATACGAGGCCCATTCTCTTCTATGTGGCACTTAGTACAAACTGCTTTATAGTTACGTGTGTTGATGCTCCTGCAAAACCATCTTCACTGTTTTTACTAAGGATGTTTAGAAATGTGGGTGGTTTTACATTTTTATCAAAATGATACACACACATGATTTAAAAATCGGACAGTGCAGAAGGACTTACAGCAAAAGGCAGTAGGTGCCCTCCCGACTCCTTCCCATTCTCCGTGGCAGACCACTTCTTACATCTTTCAGCCTTTTCTCTTTGATGTTACCTCCATATTTAAGCAATATGCTCATCGTCCTCCTTCTTGATTGATCAGAAGATCTTCTATAGAGCTCCTTGCCTTGACATCAGAGGATTTAGCTTATTTATTACCATCCTCACTAAGTCTTCCTCCTTCCTCCCAATGTGCTTAGATCCCTATTTTTGGTTCCTCTCTTGGTTACTGTTGTAATTTTATAGAATCTACTCAGTCACTCTATTAACTATAGATGGTGCCTTATGACAACCATTCTGTAATATGATACCAGCACCCCCTCTCCTCAGCTCTCCTCCTTCTCCCACCGCCTAACTTCTCATCCATTCCTGCAACATCCAATATGGTAGTCACTAGCCATATGTGGCTAGTTACTATGTGGCTATTAACTTAAAGTTAAATAAAATAAAACTTCAATTCCTCTGTTGCCCCAGCCACATTTGAAGTACGCTACACGTGACTAATAGCTACCGTATTGGACAGGGCAAATGTAGAGCGTGTCCATCTTCACAGAAAGTTCTATTGCATTCTATTCTAGACTTAATATTGGTTAGGTGGTAACCTTTACGTTTGTGCTATAATAATAATGGTTTTCTGTGCTTTGCCTTTGGGTTGAATCTAACACTGAAACAAATCAATGAATAGTATTTACATTATTAGACAATATATGAACATATCGCTTCAAGCAGAGCTAAGAAGTACTCTGTGGCATTTGCCTTCTTGGAAATTTTTTGTTTTTCTAGGACTTTCTAATTGCCTTTCTTTGCTCCTTGCATGACTTGCCTTTAACATAGCCTAATTATTCCCTCCCCACCCCCCAAATTCTTCCTCAGATCAAGTAAACTGTTGATTCTCTTTCTCCCCAGAGACCTTCCTCCTGGGCCCTCAATACTTCTGCTACAGCCTGGACTGACTGCTTCCTGGGCCCACTGGGTGTCTTAGAAATTCCCTTTTCTTCTCTCCTGGGCTGGAGCTTTTATATCTTCTCCTTTCTCGGCTTACTTCCTTATTTTTCTTGAGCACATCCTTAATTAACTTCCTAAGAAAGGCTATGTAGGAGGTGAGTTTTCTGTGACATACCTCTCTGAAATATGTCTTCCTCTGTCACCTTCCCCACTTGCTTCATAGTTTGGATATAGAATTCTAGGGCAAAGTCAGCTTTTCTCAGAACTTGAAAGTATTACACCATTGATTCTCAACATTTGTTGGGTTGTACTTCTTTTATAAGTGACCTGTCTTGTAGGATATTCTCCTTGTCTCTGTTTCACTGAAATTTCACGGTATCCAGATGTGGGTTTTTCCTCTCTTTCGTTTGTTGTGCTGGACACTCGGTGAAATCTTTAAATCTGAAGATCTGTGTCCATCCGAGCTGGGAAAATTTCTCATATTTTTATCTGATAATTTCCTACATCTTATTCTCTCCTTTTTTGGAATTCCCATCAGGTGGAGAAGATATTGGAACTCCCGGATTGATACTTCACATCTTGAATTATTCCTCTCACGTCTTCCATTTCTCTGAGAGGCTGCCTCATCTTTCTCTTCCAATCCTAGAGAATTTAAAATTTTTTCAGCCATCTTTTTCATTTCCATGCATGTTTCTCATTTTTTGACGGTCACTTTTCACAGGATCTTGTTTCATGGGAGATGGATCTTTTTTTGTCTGTTTGTCTTTGTCCCTCCCCTTTATGTTCTAGATTCTCCTCAAATGTCTGGGGATCCTTGGTTGTCATTTCATGTTTAAGAAAGAGGCGATACAGGCTGCTGGTGCTCCAAGCAGTGGACGGGGTGGTTGACTCGAGGGATTGGGCAGGGAGCTGCCTGCCACACCAGACTCTTTTATTTGGGATATCTAACTTTCTTTAGAGAAGGACCTTTTAATTATTTGCCTGGGAGACAGGCAAGAAAGCAGGGGGCATACACTGCTCTTTCTAATGGCTTATCGGTTAACTCTCCTGATTTCTGCCCCTTGTCTCACTTCTGCCATCTGTGTCCTGGCACCGATGGGTCTTGACGTTCTAACTTGGGCTAAATCTAGTATCCACTTCCCCATTCATTATCCGGCTTCTGGAAATTAGCTGAAATCTCTCATCTGTGGTTGGCTCCTCCTCCTTTCTCTCCGTGGGAAGTGTTATTCCTTTATAATCATTTTAGTGAGATCTCAGGATGGAGACGAGATGATATGTGGTCAGTCCACCATCTTGATGCAGAAGTCAACTTCTATGGCATCTTATTTTCTCTCTTTTTTTGCTTAAGGCCATGTTTTCCATAGCATTTCTGCAAGGGACATTATATTTTGTAGTTTGGGACCTTGTGATGGATTTCGTTACTGCTAAGAAAAACATTTGTCTCTCCTGATGAGCTGGTGTATTTTCTTTGAATGGACAGTGAAATTTAGGGAACTTCCCATGTTTCCCTTTTTGATCCTGCGGCCGGGATGCTCAGAGCTAAGTTTTAACCCTAACTCTAGTCCTAACATTTTGGGAGTATATATTTTTCGTCTTCCATCAAATCTTCCATTTTTCTTGTTCTTTCCAGGTTGGTCTCTCCCTTTTCTCATCTTTAATATCACTTGGATCTTGTACAAGAGGATTTAGTTCTAGATGATCCCTCAGTGACCTTCCAATTCTAATGGAACTTGAGTCCATGGTCTCCTACGTCCTGAACTGGGTAAAAGGATAACATATATGTGTGAACTATCTCCCCACTAGACTGAGGGGCAGACAGCGGGCTTTACACGTCTCCTCCATCCCTCAGTGAGCTTCGTGGTTTGGAATTGATCCTGGAACCCAGGGCAGCTGACCCAGGACAGCCCCACAGCCTGGTGGTCTGAGGAAATCCAGCAGGCAGTCAGGGGTAGGACGTATGAGTACCTCTTGGTTAACCTCTCCCTTCTCCTCCCAATTGCTCCTCAACCCATGGCTCCTTTGCCTTCTCCTAACCTTAGAAGGTGTGTGTGTACGTGCGGGTGGGTTGGGGTGGTGGCGTGCCTTAGAGGACTCTATGCAATTTATCTGCTGCATGTTCTTGGTGGTCAAGCCAGCCTCTCTGACCCTCAGTTTCCTCATCTGTAAAATGGGGATAACAGCAGGGGTAGCTAAACGAAGGAAATGAGTGAGCACATATGAAAGGTCCAGAAGCCTGCCTGGCAGTTGTTAGCAGAGAAGGCTTTTCATTCCCCAGTCTCCACATCCCCCCCGCCCCTTCTGCACTCCTGCCCCCGTGACCCCCTTACTGAATCAGTTCCAGCACCCTGCTCTTCAGCGCACGGACCAGGTCCCGCTGCCCGCCAAGCTCCTCCTCATACATGGCGGCCCTCCCGTCGGCCTCCTGCTGCTTCTGCTCCAGCTCTGCCTGCAGCCGGGCCCGCTCCTCCCGACACCTGGGGCGGGACAAGCAAGCTCAGCATCTGCCACCCGCCCCGCCTGACAGCCGCCCCTGCCGACGCCCGTGCTGGCCCCGCAGCTGAAGTCCACACACCACCCCCTACACACCTCACACACACTCACATATACACACACCCCACACCACACA